CTCTCTCTCTCTCTCTCACACACACACACACACACACACACACACACACAAAATGCACAGACACAGGGAATGATTTCCTCCTTTCCTTTCCCCTCCACCTTGCAGTCGGACTGGTTGCATTATAATGGCGTTAGACCTGGGTTTGGGGTTGTGATATCATGATATGCTCTTCTAAAAGCAATTGTTGGTGGCTTAAACCATTGGTTCTGACATCTATATACTGTCCTTGTGTGTCTCTGCCTTTTCTGATGTCTTATGTGTTTGCAGACAAGTAGTATAGAATACCAGTTGTCCATGTTCTTCAGAGATGAGTTGATATCCTGGTCCTGCAGAAGGCAGCCAGGCATATCAACTATGCCTGTCAATGTGAACATGCCAACCACTGAGCTGAAAGAGAAGGTGAAAGCGAATGTGGAGAGTGTCCTCCAGAGAGTTAAGAAGATTGCTCCCCAGGATGATGGCGAAGAGGTACAGATCAGCTCTCATTTTCTCCCCATGCACTATTTTGCACTAGGAAATAAGACTGTCCCTTGCACTATGCAGGTCATATTGTCGGTTGCCATCCCAGGTTGGAGTCCCAGGTTGGAGTCCCAGTTGGAGTCCCAGGATGGAGTTCCAGGTCGGAGTCCCAGGTTGCAGGCTGCAGATGTCCCAGTGGGACTCCCAGGTCCAGTCAGCAGATGTCCCGGTTTTCATCTCTGTGAGCAAAGAGGCCGAGATCTATGGGCATTGCTGGCTCTCCAGCACCATCTCAGGCGTGTACTTTCTCTACTTGTTAAAGCACCAGTACCTCCGAGCCTGGTTTTCGAGATGTGGATTTGTGCTGCGCTGCATCTGAAATGTTCAGATTGACGCATTTTTTCTTTAGTTGGCTGGGCGAGGTACTGGCGGCTTAAGAACGTAACCTGGTTGTAGTCCAGGTTCTTGTCCAGCCCGGAGTCCAGGTCAGAGTCTGAGGTTGGAGTACAAGGATGGAATCCTCCCCGCAGGTATAGACAAAATGAAATTGGAAGGAAACCTGAAAAGGAAAATAAAAGTGAAGAAGAGAGTTGAGGCTCTTTCTTGAAAATATGGCAGTGCATGAACGTCTGATTTACGTTATCTCGCGATTATGGCTTTGTGTGCAGGCGGAAGGTTCGACGGAGCCGCCAAAATCTGTCCAGCGAGGAGTGATCGAGCTAGTGGAGAGAGCTCTCAGTGCTCAAAATCTGTGTATGATGGATCCGACGTGGCATCCATGGTTTTGACTCCACATGTGTGAGGTTAGTTGGCTCAGGCTTGTTCTGTTTGGCGACTGTAGTGTTTTGTGGCAGTCTAGGCCTGAGAGCATTCTTGGAGTCTTCCTCTACGCGGCTGCGAAACTTCTCTCAGCCTGAGTTCAGGCTGCTTGCCATCTTGTACTTGACAGCAATGCATGTGTGCTCTGGCGAAACTTCTCTCAACGTGAGTTCAGGCTGCTTGCCATCTTGTACTTGACAGCAATGTATGCGTGCTCTGGGGCCTGTATAGATGGGTGGGTGGTCTGACTATCAGGGGTCTCTATAGACTTGTAGGGTGCGACGCAGATGTCGGGATAGAACGGAATGTCTGCGGCTGCACTTACAGCAGTAGTAGGGAAAGGACTGCGTCCTCTTCGATGTATTTGTGTGCGAAACATCGGTCCTTGGCCATATACATTTCTAGAAATTTGGAGTTTGAAAGCTTGCATGGATCAGCGCAGTCCAGCAAGGTACGTTCAGCTTGCCTGGTAGCATGCAGCACGCATCAGCTTACAGCAGCTGAGTCCTGCGAATAATTCAGAAAGTGGGATGATGGTTTAGGCCCTAGGGTTTGCTTGCATCAGAAATGGTTGAGGCGAGCTTAAGCGAAGATGTTTCTATTGCAGCTCTGCCAACTTTGCAATCAAAAGGACATTGAAATTCGAAGAAGATTTGGCCGACTGTACCTGTATGATAAGGATCTTCCTCTTTTTCTGGTGAGGAACTCTTTCAGGCGCACTTTATAATTTGTTCGAACTTTCTAAGTTAGGTAACTTAGGTCTATTCGAAGTAGTTCGGCACCCTTTTGGTGCACCTGTTAACACACACAAATTTTTAGATTTTTTGCTTCATTTGAAGCAGTGCGTCCCCTATTTGGGGGCGCACCCTTACCCTTATCCTGAGTTTGAGATTGGTGTTAGTTGCCTCCATCCTGTGAGCCAGCTGGTGCGCAGCATCTGTGGGGCAGGCATCATGTCGATTCAGCTACCTATCAGGGCAGAGAGATAGAAGGGGGGGGGGGGAGAGGGCGCAGTAGCGGGAATATGGCAAGGATTTGGAGGTGGGTGTGGACTGTGGAGTGTGGTTAGTACTTGCGAAGAAGGTAAAGAGAATGGAGAAGGTGATAAGGCAGGAGAAAGCAACGTGGGGACAGATGCAGAAGATTTGTTCTTTTGCGGTTACAGGTGGGTGCTCTGAATTTTTTCCATTGGGTGTCAAGGCAGCGAGGGTGGGGTTGAAGAGGGTTGAGCAGGGAGGGGAAGTAAGGGAGCAGGCAGGCGGGCCCTCCCACACTAAGGGTTTGTTGGATTGCATCGACGCTGCCCTGAGG